AGGTTGAAGTAAACAAAACAAAAGACACGACATACAGACGCGTCAACGAAGACGGGGGACCTCAGATCATGAGGAGCCAGTTTCTCTGGGTATTGTTTCCCTAATTTGTGATTCTTACATCACTCGGCCCTCAGGCTCAGTTTTTCTTTCAAAACCCTTTTTGCTCACTTTTCTCTCGACTCACACCTCTCTATTCTTTATTCTCTCATTTTTATCCCTCCCCGATTTTTTAATGGATGAATAGGAAGTTGTGGGTTCTCGCTCGACATGGTTAGCTCACGGCTGCTTCTTCTGGTGGCGTTTGGTCGATGCCCCAAGTAAAGGGAACGGAGTAGCTTGACCCCTTCAGATTCGTGCTTCGCACTTGGCTTGATACCTCGTTGCTTGGAGGTTGAGAGAGCTTTCAGCCCTTCCATGTTTGGCACTACTTTTTCAAAAAATCAGTTGCTCAAAACAATGTGCCGGATTTGGACTCTTTGGTTCAGATTAGGAACCGTGACATTTTAAGAGTCTGAGCTGTAGTAACCCAAAATGAACAGAACGGGAACTAACCCTCCCGGGGCGTTCGGGGACGTCTACACCAAGTGCACCTAACATCTCCCACTCCCGAATGGCTATACAAGCAACATCACTAATGGATTTCCTACTAAGGGCATCGGCCACAACATTGGCCTTTCCCGGGTGATAGTGCAACTCAAAGTCATAATCCTCAATGAACTCCATTCACTTCCTCTGCCTCAAATTTAAGTCCCTCTGTGTAAACAGGTACTTCAAACTCTTATGATCTGAGAACACCTCGAATTTCTCACCATACAGGTAGTGCCTCCAAGTCTTCAAGGCAAAAATTACTGCTGCTAGTTCTAGGTCGTGAGTAGGGTAATTCCTCTCGTGAATCTTCAATTGATGTGAGCCATAGGCTACCACTTTCCCTTATTGCATCAAGACACAACCCAATCCCTCTCGTGAGGCATCACAATAAACCGCATAACCCAAACCTCTCTCCGGAATAATCAAGATTGAAGTGGTGGTCAATCTAACCTTCAGCTCCTGGAACGACATTTCACAAGTCTCACTCCACACGAACTTGACCCCTTTCCGCGTCAATCTAGTCAATAGTGAAGCTAGCTTGGAGAAATCCTTCACAAACCGGCGATAATACCTAGCTAATCCCAGAAAATTGCGAATCTTAAAAACGCTCCTAGGCTGTGCCCAATCTTGC